AGGCACTAGATAACTGAACACATACCTACACTCACCCATATCCATACCCTTATACACACAGACACACAACACACACACACACCTATACTCACATCACATGCACACCTACACACAGACACCCCACACCTATAGTCACCCATACCCACACTCCTCTATACACCTACACAGACATACACACACATGCCCCACACCTCACCTACATACACACACATTCACCCACACTATCCCACACCCCAACCCACAATGTTTTTCTTCTCTGGGAAGAAGAAATCACGGGCTGTGACTATTGTTCTTCACAAGGTAAGATAGAACCTAGGGTTTATTCCAACAAAATAGCTCCAGCGGAGCAGGGAAAAGAATCCTGCAGTGTCTACAAGCTCTTTGTTGAAAGTTTATTTTAGTTTGAAATTACCCTGTCTCAAGATGTTTTTAAAAAAATACCATTCTTGACGGAAAAATTTAGAAAAAGATAATGGTGACGTTTGAACACCACAATGAACACAATCAACGTCACTGAACTGTCTGTGTGAAGGACACTGGGATGACAAATGTTCCATATGTGTATTCATCACTATCTGAAAAAATAAAACACCCTTTTGTTTTAGAAAAGTATGCTAATTTGTGTTCATATATTTCCATAAAAACAAAGGAGAAGCTTGTCAATTCAGGTCCAAATAAGGTTTTTTCAAAAAAATAATCATAACTGGATAGCACCATGGACCCTTCATTTCCACTCTGAGTAACAGCCTATGGGGCCAGGATGAACACACACATGCATGTGTACACGCATGTCCATATGCGTACATAACGCCATGCCCAAGCCCCAGGGGAGGTAGCCTAATTGTGCTAGCAGGTTAGCTGGTTAAGTGCAGACCTCCACCTCTACCGTTCAGCCCGTACCAAGACAAGGTTTTGGCAGGTGAAAGCCTCATCTTCAGGTAGCCAGAGGGTAGCAGTGTGTTTAATACCTGGGCAGGATTCAGCACTGGGGTCCACAGGGAGGAGAAGATGAATAAACCCTCTGCCTCTTCAGTGTCTGTAATTAGGCTCATAGGGAACTAATATCATCCCGCCCTAGGTACCCGATTCAGGCAAACCTGAATACAAGCATTCACGTGCCCGCAGCACAGTAGGCAGGCCCTCAATCGACGGTTACTGAAAAGACTGCTTGACCAAATGCTTGGTGTGTTCTGCGGCAGGGCCGCTGCTGGAAGGCGCTCTCATTCCCTACTTCCACTCAAGTCCCTGTCCACAGACTCAGACTGCACCTCCCATGGCAAGAGGAAGTCACTGATCTCAATTTCACCAGCAAAGCCAAGGGCCTCCATCTGCTACATTCTCTCCGCCCCAGAGGCAGAAGCCTGAGTGTCACGCTACCTGTTCTCCTCTTCCAGCTCGTCCTTCCTGTTCATCATGGCCATGATGGCTTGCCGCAGGTCATCTGAGGAAGAAAGCAAAGGCAAAATCAACAGCCAGCTCTCACCTGTTCCACTGTACCCTCACTTCTCTGCATTAGAACCTCTCTACATAAGTTTCCTTTGCCCTTCCAAAAATAATTCCTAGAGAGTCTTTCCCAAGAGAGCCAATGGGCTCAGTTGATTCTTTTATTAATCATGAGACAGAAAGGCAGGGTGAGAACCAATGTGTAAATGCCTTGCTGAAAATACTTAGCTGCTACAGAAAGAAAACACCTGCAATTTCCAAGTGTGTTTTCCAAGGCTCTGCTCCTGGACGGTATCTGGAACAGGGATGCATTCCCAGTTATAGCTGTTTATCAACTTAGTAGATCAACTGGCACTTGGCTGCACACTGGCACACTCAAATTTAATAAGACAGATGGTTTTCCTACAGTGACACTCAATAGCTAGTATACAGGTGGCACTGTAAAGGCACATGGGGACCTCTCTGACACACAGTCTGTAATTAGTTATGAGCACTACTCTTCCAGCTACCTTCAACTTAGGCAAGCATTCAGACAGGAAACCATACCATTAAATCAGTACCCCAGGGTCCAACCTACACGGAACTTAACTGCTGTCACTGTTCACATGCTGCAGACACTGTTCACCATACCACTCAATCAGATCTTAAAACCTGGAAGTTCTAAATTTCTCCTGCAGAACCTGTTTTTCTGTTTTGTTTTGTTTTTCCCTAATAGACCCTATGAGCTGTATTTCCCTCCTGAAATTGGCTGCTAGGAAGCCCACAGCCTAAACTGCACCAAGTATCTAGCAAACGTGTGTCGCACAGCAGCCGCTTTGTCCCGCTCGTCTTTGTCCCCAACCTGTACAACCACCTTAGGAGCGCCTGGGTGGCACAAATTGTTAAGCGCTCAGCTGCAAACCGAAAGGTTCAGTTCAAATCCACCCAGGGGAACCTCACGAGTCTACTTCTGAAGGATTACAGGCCTTGAAACCCTACGGAGCGCAGCTCTACTGGCACATGCTTGGGGCCACTAGTGGGAGTCAAGTGGCCTGCAGCTGTTTTTGCCTGGTTTGGCTTGGTTTTTCACTAGTCCATGGTGGCAACATTATTGCTGGCTGTTACAGTCACACTCCTCCAGCCACAGCCCCCAACCGTGCAGCACAGCGCCTGGCCCAGAGTAGGGGTTCAGTAAGAGCTGGATGTGCACATGGATGAGGAAGTGGGGAGACAGTCCTAGAATTTCAAGGAAGGGACATTCCTGAAGGAAGACTTCTTGGAGGGGAACAATAATCCACAACTGTATGTTTCTCCAAGGAAACCATACACGTGACTTTTCACTCTGAACTGGGTCAGGGCCTTGGACCAGCATCCCAGGCCCTCGGAGCCCCTCTCTGGGCACAAGAGGGAAAGAGTCCCCGCTCCCCCATCACCGGGGTTCCATGAGCATCAGAAAGATGAGATGCAGCAGGAGACATTAACATCTTAGAAGAACTCATCAGAATGGTAAAGTTACATTTTTTTACTTTAAATGAAAACAGATACTGATATATATTTTAAAAAAAAAAAGTAATTTACCCCCAGGGCACTGGAGTCAAGGAAAAGGGCTGACTGAATGACTATCGAAGACAGTGGATAACATCTATTCAGCCCTTCTCTTCAGACCAGGAGCAGGTGGCCAGGCTGCAGCCGTGTGTCACACACCCATGACTCGGGAAACAGCTCGAGGCTAGCAGAAGCTGAAATCTCTTCTTAATCAGAGAAACAGCACTCTGTTCTCGGGTCTTCCTCATCAAATATATGTGCACAGATAGTTTACATGTTCAGTGGTGGCCTAGCGTGTACACAGATAATTTACACGAATGAGCTCCTTGCCATGGATCTCAGCAGAATGAGCCCAAAAGAGACAGAGCACCCAGTGGGAGCCCCTCCCTCCGCCCCTGTGCACTCTGTGAGGGGAAGCCTGGGACTGGGCAGAACCGAGCACCGTGCCCTCTGGGAGCATCGGCCCTCATCCTTCGGCTTGGCCGTGCCTCTCCTGGGGGGAGCAGCTAGCGGCCATGAACCTGAGCTTTATCATTCCAGGAAGCCCCTGAACACAATGTGACTTCTTTGCCTGACCCCAATATGTCGGTTTCAGCAGCCTCCAGCACACTGCCCGCCAAAGGAACTCTCAAACATAGACTGGGGGAGGGTACCCCTGCAGCCTCGGGCGTAGGCTGGGGGTACCCCTGCAGCCCTCAGGCCTTCCACACACACCTGAGAGCCTCTCCCTGGAGTAAGATGAAATTCAACAGATATTTCATGGATTTCCACAACTTTTCCTCATGTTTATCCTCTATTCTCAATCCAAAAAAACCTGATTCAGCTACTCAGGCCCCTATGGAAAGGTACCTCCACTGAGAAGTCCGCCCTGATTCCAGGCCTAGGTTGCCACTGTGTCCCATGGGCTGGGCTACTGCACTGATGGAACAGCCACACGTGCAAGAGCATGTAGTAATCATCTCAGTCTCCTCACACGGAGGCACAACCCCTTAGAGGTGCAGAGTGCCGCCCCCCCGCATCCACAGGTGGGTATCAGTCAACGCATGTGGGGCTGATTCCGTGAAAACGAGTGATCTAGGGAGACGATCCATATAAACTACTAGACTTCCAAAATCAATAGCAAGAGTGACATCACCACTGCGTGTGCCTGGTAATATGCTCCAGTCTCTGGGTGGCACAAACGGGTAAGTGCTCAGCTGCGAGCTGAAAGGTGGGGGTTTGAGTCCATGCAGAGGCACCTTAGAAGAAAGGCTGGTGATCTCCTGAAAAGGCCGCCACAGAAAACACCAGGAACACAGTTCCACTCTCACATGGGGCTGCCACGCAACAGACACCGGAGGACAAGAGTTCAGCAATCTCTCCGCACCTGACAGGCCTTGTTTCAATTCTCACAACCACCTGATGAGGGCGCTCAGTAATCAGAAAAGGCAAGGGAAAGTGGGACATTTCCTACAGAATCTCAAGCCCTTTTCAAAACCCTCTTTGAGGCCTGAAACTATCCTGGCCCCAGAGCTGGAGAGGAGTAAGGCTCTGGGGTGACTGGGGCAGGGGGATGTCAGACGGGTTCCAGTAGCTTCCATTACAATGACTGGAGTAGGATCCATGGAAAGCTGCTATCAACCAACACTGGGGCAGGCAGAGGTCAAACCACAGCTCAGCCACTTATTGGCTCGCAACCCTGAGCAGGTTTCCTCCTTTACAAGATGCAAAATGGGGCTACCACCACGTACTCTGCGGGACAGCTGCAAGATTCAACTAAAACCTGAATCTGCAAAGCCTCCAGCCCAGCACATGTACTGTAGCCAACACGAGGTAGGCAGTCAGGGTCTTGGACTAGGGACCACACTGTCTGGAGTCAGGTCCCCAAGTTCAAATCCTGGCTCCACAGCAGAGGGGCCTTCAGCAGGTTACCTCCCCTCTCCGAGCACCAACTTCCTTAAGTCTCAAATGGGATCTTCATAGAAACTCTCTTGTAAAGAGAGTTGCAAGTATTTAATATGGTGTAAGGTAAGTGCTTAGAACACTGCCTAACTCACAGCAACCACTTAGTCTCTCTCCCTTCAATGACAGGGAAGTAAAGCTGGGGACAAAGTGGAAAAGCCCAGGCCAGTGAAGCTGGGCACATTTCAGGGTTATGGGATTTCCTGGCTACTGTGTGCCTTGACCTTGGGGAATAAAAAGGAATGTTCTAAAGTGTCTGTCTGTGCCACAGAGCAGCAGAATAGATTAAAAAATTTTCTCAAGTGTCAAACAAGATCACTGTGGGCAACATGGGAAATCAGACCCAGCAAGTAAATGCCACTCCGAGGCAGCTGAGAAACTTGTCTGGGTTCCAGGCCAATAGAACAATAGCCTGGGATGAGGCGATCCCAAATACTGCCACCCAGGCTTTGTAGCCGAAAGCTCGCTATTCCACAGAAAACGCTCAGAGGATGGAGGAACTATTCCCCAAGGGAACACGGAAGATATTAGAAAGTTCTTCCGGCAAAGACAGCACAAGCTGCCTACAATCTCAGCTCCGAGTTCACTTGTTGTTGGGGCCACAGAGTCGACTCCCACTCGCTGTGACCTCACGGCTAACAGAACAAAACGTAGCTGGGTCCTGCACCATCCTCACGAACGCTGGCATGTCTGAGTCCACGGTCACATGCACTGCGTCCAGCCCATCCCACGGAGGGTTTCTCTCACCCCCTCTGACCCTCTGACCCTCTGCTTCACCCATCGTGATGTCCTTTTCCAGCAACTGGTCTTTCCTGATGACATGTCCAAACCAAAACCAAACACCAAACCCACTCCATCAAGTCAATTCTAACTGACAGGAACCCCCTTTGGATTTTTGAGGCTATAAATCTTTATGAAAGTAGATCGCCCCATCATCCTTCCACGGAGCAGCTAGTGGTTCGAACCGCTGACCTTGTGGTTAGCAGCCAAATGCCTTATCCACTATGCTACCAGATATGTCCAGGAGGGACCCAAACGACACTGCCCAGAAAGCCACCTGGGAGAAACAGTGGGTCCGAACTACGCTGACACGACCCAGGCCACCATCCTGGTAAAGCCCTCCCACCTTTATCAGTCCCAGGGCTGTGCACCAGCAGCCTCCTGAACGACAGATGGCCCTGTGTTTGTGTCAACGTCAGAATGACTGATAACAACACTTGTAAGTGCCAGGCAGAGCTCTGACAGTCGCTCTCCCTTAAAAGCCATCACAGAGAAAAGGGTTGTCGGGGCTGTCCCTCCGCCTTCATGCCACGCTCGTGTTAATGGCAGAAGAGGGAACAGACGGAGGTCTGGTGTCCCCCTGGAACAATGCTCTTCTGACAAGCTTTAACTGTCTGTGTGCTCACTTCTGCTGCAACGCTGGCTGGCTGGTGACTTTCCTGAGCGAGGAAGCTGGTAGGTAACGCCGGGGCTGAATTCCATGGCTCACGTAAACACCACACTCCAGCAAGCCCAGGGCGCACGGGATGCAGG